TTTTATCTTTTTTCTTCCTCTTTGAGCTCAGTTCCTCATAATCTGTTTCCAATTTCTTTCATCCCCCTTCTGCTCACATGTCATGTCTAGACGTGTAAGGTTCAATCCTTTCCATCTTCATTCCACAGACTGCCAGGTGTTCTATGGCCTGGTCCTTGATAGAATCAGGTTTTTTTCCCCCAATTTCACTTCTGCAAATTTGCATTTCTGGAAATGCATGAATTCTGTCCAAACTGAGCATTTCCCCAATCTAGACTATGGGGAGAATGTCACTTTTTAAAATGTTTTATTCCCCCGCTCTGCCCCGTACCACGAATATATTTGCACACCAGATTCTGGAAGGTAAAAGCACAGCCTGAAAATCTGCAGCACTCATGCAACTCAGGAAAAGCTGGTCTTCTGTAGAATCAATGAGATGGATTCCTAGAACTCCAACCTCTTTTAAATCCATTGAAGATTTCACCAATATCCCTTTCATGTCTATACTAGATAGTCAGCCTGTGGGCAGGGACTGTGCTACGCAATTATTCCTTGTATAGCGCCCTGTTGGCATAGGCAATAACTGTTGACTGTATTATTCAAATTGCAAATTTAAATTAACCCCATGCTTGCCTAACTTGGCTACTAAGACATTTCACATTTTACATTGTAGCCAAGGTAAATCAAAGGTTTTCTCTGGTGTTCCCAGACTGCTCCACAGAGTGAGGGTCACCAAAAGTCCACCCCTCCTATAAATGGTAACTGTACAGTGCTTTCATAAAATTCTCAGACTCACAAGAAAATGAAAGCAATTCAATCTCTGTGGAGCTTTTAAGCCCTTCAGTCTTAAAATTTGCATTTCTTCACAACTGGTTCTTTGTATCACAGCTGGCTATTACCTTTGGGTGTAGTCATTCAAAACTGATTTTATTATTTATTATGTTGCATCTTATAAAGTTAAGTTTTGCTTTCTGGATTGCCCAGAGCACTTCAACTATTGGGCAAAATAGAAATATAAGAAATAAAGGAAATAAACATAAATTGCATGCAATAAAAGGTGGTACAAGATGCAGTCGAAAACACGAGCAACAGCAGTGATAGCTAGAAACTTCCAAAACAGTGGAAGCAGCAATACAAGCAAACAAGACCTGGAGAGTTAACACCATCTTCCCCCTTCTTCTGCAGGCACTGTCACTGCAAGGAAAGGCTGGGAGTCGCAGACCATCCAGCTGCCCAGGAAGAGCTGCTTCAGCTCCAGGGGTGATTCTGACCCTTCAACATGCAGCACAGCACCTTTTCCAGTCACCACCGCCTTACTTATTTAATAAAAAGGTACATTTATTGTGTGCTGAAGAAAACTGGGCAGAAAAGTAGGAGAAATAAATAGATAAAATAGATTGAAAGTAGGGCATAGAGGAACAACTTGACATTTAGAGGTTTTAAAAATGAAGTTTTCTTTTTCCTCCCCTTGTTCTTTCTTCTCCCCCTCAAAGAGGTAAAAAGGTAGGTGAAGGCAGGTGGTGCTACTTGCTGTTGCAAATTTTCTTGGAAGAAATGAAACAGACAGGAGACTGGAGTGTGCGTGACAGAAGCACATTACAATGAAGTATATGATTCTTACAATGATATTACAATGGTTAGTAGAGCCATGCCAGCTTCATAACTCACAAGATGTTGGCTTGTGTTGGCTAACAATTGTTAAGCCTAAACAAAGTTTGTTTGGATTTGAAGGATAATAGTTTAAATCAAGCTAAAGCTTCTACATTCTTTCTCCCCGCCACCCTGGAGGCAGAGAAAGGAGGAGGGAGCACATGAGCTTGAAAGGAGGCATTATCTGATAATGAGAAAACATTATTTATCATTATATTTGAATGCTGCCTGTCTGTGGAAATCACTTAAGGACACAGAATATAAGCAGCAAAGTACCAAGGACAAAGTCCAACCATAAAGTGGTTAAGAGATGGAAGTTTAACATGAGAAGTTCACCCAGAGTCCAAGCAGTCATGTGACTTCCACATCTAATTTTCATAAATAAATATAGGAATAGTGGTCATCCTCAGGCACTACATAGATTTGCTTGACCAATTTCTCTCAAACCAACAGGATGTTGTGCTCTTATAGGAAAACTAACTTCCAAGTGAACCCACATGGCTCCATAGCAATCACTTCCAAACTATGCACTAATACATCATAGCTGGATTTGAGAGCGCTATCCATGAGCCATTAGCAATGCAATAAATTACGTCTTTGAGATCTCAGTGAAGTTCCAGGTGTGACCCATTGCATCCAGCCTGCTCTGAATGTCTGAAGTGTGTCTACACTGAGAAAGAATGAACAAAACAATTGCACCCAACACAGACACAACAGAATGGCGTATCACTGTGGAAGTCTTCTATTACATCTTAGTGTGAATCACTGCTCTAGATGAGTTCTCTTCCAAGGCACAAAAGCAATATGCCTTCCATTTTAATTCAGAAAAATAGTGTCTGTCAGCTACTAGAAAGTTGTGGAACACTGCCCTATCCTGTGAATGTTCCATGAAAAGAGAAGATCTTCCTTGGCCAAGCCTTTTAGCCCAGGTTTTCAGAATAATTCAAAAAGAATTCATTCAGATTTCCTTAAAATGTTGTCAGGAGTATGAGACTCAGCTCTGCAAGTGTCACCCTGGTCAGGTTTCTTCTAGATCCTTGTGATAGGTGTTTTAGCCAAAGCCTCACAAATATGATGAACAGCTGACATGCACTGTGTTTAAGACACATATTGTATGACTGATTAACTGAGGGTACTAACCTTATGTGTGGAAATACACACTTGAAAGATGAGTTACTCATTTAAGCAACTGTAATTGAAGAAAATGTTGCTGTTCCAGTTAGCCAGGCTGCACTGTGGCCTGACTGCAAATCTAGATGCGATTCTGTGGAACGCAAAACATTCCATCCAACATTCTAGAAAGTAGACATGTCTGCTACAAGGTAGCCATATTAAGAGGAAATGGTCTTTTTGAACCCCAGTTTTGCTGTCCACGCTAATCCCAAATCTGTGCTCCTCCTATCTTCCAATTATACCTTTGGATACATTTGGGGTTTCCCCTAATTAGTCATACAACAGCTTTTAATTATGTGATATTAGTCATCCCTTTTTAACCATGAGTTCCCAGGAAAACCTCTTATGTCATCATTACAGAAATGCGCTTTATGATAAATAGGCGCCTTGTTGATGAGATATGCTAAATCTAAAGCTCTCAGCTATAGAGATAGTTTTTCCAAATGCTCTGGGCTAATGCAGATGTAATGCTGGCTGAAACAGTAATATAGCACAAGGGTGAATAACTAGACTTGTGGCTTCCAAAGGATCTACCTGAACACTGGGCACTCTGGCTGGGGTCAGCGGATGTTATGAATCTAACAACATCTTAAGGACTATCGCCTGCTCATTCCTGACTTAAAACATGACCACAGATGACCCATGACTATAGCACTATAGAACATTTTTCAAGATCAAGGGTGGGCAATTTGGGGAAGTCCAGGACTAGTTTTGCCCCTGGATCACATTTTTTTGTAAGGTGCTGCACAATCTGCAGGTTCCTTAAGATGACAAAACCCAAACCAGGAAAATTGTCTATTGCTGAAATTCAGTAGCAAGCTGCATCATAGTGGTACAGAGTACTGTAATAGATAGATTAAACTAGTTTCTAAGCTAATTGTAACTGGTTTGATGCTGTGTAGCTGCTACAGACCCCTTCTGAGGGGGTATTTTTAAAAAATTGGAGAATAGTAGAGGAAGACAGGAGCTGCACTGGGGCAACAGTGGGGCCACATGTGAGGCCAAGGGCCATATATTGCCCATCCTGTATATCTTGTGTGTGTGTGTAGTAGGTCCCTCATATCCGTGGGGGATAGGCTCCAAGCCCCCCAGCAGATGCCTGAAACTGCAGATAGTAGTAAGCTTTACGTACTGTACAGTTGGCCCACCACATTTATGGGGGTCAGGAGCACAGGACCCCCACAAAAGTAGAAAAACTGCAAAAGCCTCTAGTGAAAAACCATGAATATCTCTAAGGAATCTGTCTGGGGATGCCACATGCTTTGTCTTGGTCCTGGCCAGCCTCACTCACATATGTTGTCTCTCAGTGAGCACAAAACTCTAGAGATAGTCAGGTTTTTCCAGCAGAGATAATTGTAGTTTTTCCACTTTTGCAGGGGTCCTGAACCCTTAGACCCCTGCAAATATGGAGGGCAGTGGTCAAATGCAGTAACTGACACAGTGGATGTGGCACTCCTATTGTGTGTGTGTGTGCATGTGCTTACGCATGTGCACATAACCTTAAGGCCTTATTATAGAAGATATTTAAAAAGTGAAATATAGTCACTTACTCCAAAAGGTTCAACTGTACCTTCCTCTGCAAATCTGCTTCCCTTTGCTTTTTATCAAACTTATCCCAGAATGCATCTATTATTATGTTTTGCTGTAAGGAATACTTAGACCAGCATGAATGTCACTCAGTTCAGTGATTTCTGTGGATTCTGAATAGAACTGGCTTCACAATCTAGCAAATTAAAGAAATGATATGCCAAATATTCCTGTGATGTCAGATTTAGTCCATTTAAAGCAAGTTTGCATCTATTTGGCTTTCCTGGCCATAGGAAACCTACATAATTTACTATGTATATATTGAAATAGAGGGGGCACTTCAGCACTTAAATTTTCAGTCAGATTAGAGTTTTTCCACCCTAAGCCTAGCCTCAATTCTAGAGGGAAAGTTTCTTTCAAAATTCTTCTCCACATATAGTCTCTCCTTTCCTTAGATAGCTGATCTACAGACAGGGTCTGCAGCACTCTGTTTAAAGATGCTGTACAAATACTATAATCAAAGTACAAGGATAATACGAAAAGAAAAATTATTTTACAGATGAATGTTTGGTGGAAAGAGTAATCTGCTTGTCCAACAAAAGATCTGGTTTTTGGGACACAGGTCAATCTATTAGGGTAGACCTCTAAGAGAAATGTCAAGTGTCACATACCTAAAAAATCCTTTGCAACCTTCACAGGTCATCGCATTAAAATGAAATCCAGTAGCTTTGTCTCCGCATACACCACAGATACGGGGAATGTTCCTGTCAAAGTCACTGGCTGGATCTGGAAAGGATGGGCAAGATGCCATGGGCTCCATTTCTAGAACAGAGGAAATATAAAAATTATCAATGTCACCACAACAGGTTTTGGAGTAAAGTCAGAATCTAACATTCTTAGGCTATGCAAAATCCAATACCTCATGAACACTTATTACAAGACAAAAAAATTAATATTCAGGTTCTGACACATATATTCCTGATTTCCAATAGAATAAAAAGACAGAATACTTTGATTTCTCATCTTCACATGAGTAGATGAGTAAGAAAACACTGCAGCTAAAGGCAGGATATTTTTACCTTAGTCTTTCTAAAAGGAATCTGTAATTTCTATGATCAACTGAGGACATGGGAGAAGGAAATGCAATTAAAACAGAAACAGGGTGAAGAATTATTTTTCTTACCATAACATCTCATGTGAGAAGATGGCCTAGTTCATACAGAATGCAAAGCCATAACATGGTTTGTAGAAATTCAGCTTGCTATTATGTCTGAACTCATCCCCATTAAACAGCTATGGTTCGTTAAACAGCTACAAACCACAAATAAAGCCATGGTTTGTTGTTGGCTTATGAAGCCTAACTTGGTTAAACCATAGCTTGTTATGATGTCTGAAACTAGAACTGTGGCTTATCTCTGGCTTGTTTTGTGCTCCTGCAATAGAGGCACCCAGCAAGAGCAACCAGAACTGAAACTACTTGGAAGGCTGGCAAAATGGACAGTAAGGAAACAAGCCAGAAATAAGGAAAACAAGCTCCTGTTTGCTCATATTTAAGACAATCAGTGACTAAAGCAACAAACAATAGTTAATATAAGCCTTGACTTACAGTACATGTGAATGCAATCAACAAATTAAAATGGTACAGTCAGAATTAGGCCTTCTATTTCTAGTCTTATAGAGGCATCTAACTGAAATTGCATTTGCGCACGTTATTATTAGTTATATAACACATGCCATAAAATATGTCCCAATATCTTCATGTTCGTTTAACAGAGCACTGGGTAATAAAACCAAGTGAGCAACTTCACAATGCCCCCACATTTCCTCTTCATATCTCCATAGGCAGGCAAAGAGGCCTCTTTTTAACGAGAGCAGAGTACTAAGAGAGGAGAATTTGGATACATTCCCAAGAAGCTAGGTCCAAGCGGGTCTGCTATGGTTCTACTTCCATATACTATCTCTTCAAGCTGTTGTGCAACACATGAGTAATGTGTGTACCAAAATGTAGGGAGATGCACAGATTCAAACAATGTGTGCACAGTATCAAATCCATTTGTTGAAATCTAGGTCTGCCCCAATCACAAATCAAGTGTGGGAAGGCTCAAAGAGCTGGTGAATAGAGTTGAACTTTTTTACACTCTTGTAGGCTCTCTTTCACAAGCCCTCTTCTCCGGAGTTGATTTCAGTTCAAACATTAGAACTCAGCTGAGGTGGAAAATACTTAGGGGACAGACTGAAGAATCAGGCATTGCTCTGTCACTGGTATACTGTTTTTTGCCTTAAAACATTATGCATGGTCGGGGCACATCCAAATTTAAACCTAGTCCTTGACAAACCTAGTCTAGCTCTCAGAATTATAAAATAGAGTGTAGAAAATGTTTCATTGCCTCTAATGGCAAGTCTTTTCTGCTATTCTTCCCCTATTACATTCAAAACGCCCATTTCTCATGTCTGGCTAAGAATCTGAAGTAATTACAAAAAGGAGATGTAGATGAATGAACCACAATGAGTTCTGGTTGTTGGGCAGTATAGAAATTAAACAAGCAAGCAAGCAAGCAAGCAAGCAAGCAAACAGTTCCTTTTTCCATTTAACTATAAATTCATATTTATTCTTGACTATGGACTCAACCCAGCTAATATGTAAGGCAAACATTGACAGCCCTTCAGGGATAGGGAGAGCACTTGTCAGGCACTATGTTAACACCATGGCTAAGCTTGGACTAATTAGCGACGAGTTCTTAACTTGAATATCACCAATTCCATTTAAAACTCAGGTATGGTATCCAAAAACAACATGTGAACAAGCAGTAAACTTGTCTTGCGTCTTTCATAAATGAACATTTTATAATAACCAGAAAGTAGAGACATATGCTGCTCAGCTCTTGCAGCCAAGAATGGGGACTTTCCATATTGTCCATCATCATTTGTTTCCACTATTGACCATGGGGGAAAAAAAAAAAAACAATCTGCAACTAAAATAGGATTGTCAGATGGTATTTTATGATCTGACTGAATGCAATTCATAGCATTGTGTCACTATTTAAAATCTCCTGTTTAATAAATAGAACAAGAGCTGTTAAACACTTTAAGAGGCATACTCTGTGCACTGGCTATTTTAACTCAATTCAGATGGTCTTTATTGGGCTAGTGGCAGCTATAAATTTTTACTAAAAACTGAGATTTTTAAAAGTCTTTTCTCATGTACTGCATGAATTCCTTCCAATGCTATCCTCATGGAGCTAATATTTTGCAGTCAAAGCCAAGATGGCAGCAAAGTATTCCAAAATGTATTTGCCTTTCCAAATACTTCTAAAAGCTTTTCTACTCATAGTTGATGAAGCCCTTCATAAAAGTGACAGTAAATATATAATGAGCTAACAGAAGCAGCATATGTAAGGAACAAAGGACAAACAGGTAGCATATTATTGAACCAACATCTTGCTGTTGGTTCAGAATATATAGACAAATTTTCCAGTTTATATAACTCATACTGATTAACTGCAAACTTCTGATTGGCTGGAAGGGTCAAATAAGAACTTGCTCTTGGGGTCCTAATAAGTTTGAATTCTTTCAGGGTCAAGGTATGTATATGTCTGTTTCAGATGAAACTGAATACTTGCATTCGTAATCAATAATGAGCTGTGCATTCAAATTTATAGATTTATAGCCTGAACTTTTTAATTTAAAAACTGGGGCTAAACTCCAAGCTCTCTACAACTCCTTATCTCAAACCTCTGAACCTAATTCCTCAACTGTCTGGCATAACAACATCAGTGCATGCTTTGTGCCCCTCCATGTTTGTTCTGCGGCCTAGTAAGAGAAACATCTTTAGAGATAAGACTTCATTAATTCTCCAGTCTGCCTAACAAGGAAACATCCGTAGCCATACCATTTAGCCTTTATATGGCCAAAGTATACTGATTGCAACATCCTTGCCAAGTTTGTAACAAAACTGTGTAAAATAGGGCAATGCTATTGTCCCCATGTTGCAGATGGGGTGGCTGACACATGGAAAGTGTGTCTTCACCTGGCAAGTTCATAGCAGAGGTGAGACCAAAGACAACCTAATTTAGAGCTCCATGTCTTAGCCACACAAGTAGTTAAGAAACCTAAAAGTTGCACCTTTGCACTTTAACAAAAATTTCACCCTTCTATTGACATACTAATTTTATTCAAGAGCAATCCAACATCATCTACAGATACCACCAAAAAGAAATGCAAGAAAAAAAGCATGCAAGAAATGAGTTATTCAGAGGAGCCTCAAGGAGCTCATGATCTTCATTCTTCCTTTAGGTTTGTTGGAAAGGACATGATGATGCAGTTTTTAAAGTTTACACAATTCTCTTTTCCCTGACTAGGGAAGAGATACTATATGACATCACAGTAACATTTTGTAAGAAAGTGAGATACTTTACCGACATCCAGATCATTTGGTATTCTTGACTGGTATAATTCCCACGGGCTCTGAAACTGTGACATGGAGCCACCTGTGATTTAAAAAAATTGTAAAAAGTAATTTAGCATCCAGCGCTCCTCGGGAGAGTTTGGTAATCTCAGATTCTGATTTGAGCCTGTGAATTTGCACCAGCTTTTAATTCCAGTGTATTGACGTAAGCAGCATTACATTAAAGGGTAAGGCGTGGCACCCAAGTAAACCACCACACCCAAATGGGATTCACAAAACTTAAGGTGCCAGCTTAGCTCTGCTTCCCAAGCTCTTGCAATATTGCCTCATAGATGTTGAGAGATAATATTAGCCCTGCAGCACATTGCTTTCAGGGCACCATAAAGGAATAATAGAGAATTCAGAAAAATATTCAAGAAGAAATAGTGCCCACTATCCACATGGGGAACTTCTGACATGGGAATTGATTTTGCCTTCTGAAATAACTCAAGACCCACTTAAGTAGGAGGACTATAGCAATGAATTGAAACGTCTTTCAGTTTTATGATTTCCTCTAAATTAGATTTTTAAAAAAGAACTACAATGATCTTCTAGCATGCAAAAGAAGTAGACTGCTGTTTAATAGATGTCCCATTATCCTACTCTGTTTTTAATTTCCCTCTGAGGCAAGTGTCATATAATGCCTATGGGTGCCCAACTATATAGCAGAGTAGTTTGTTCACAGGTACTGATAAGCATCAGGTGAAAACATTTAGCTATATGAACACTGGTAACCACCAGCTCAATGATACCAAGCTTATTTATCCGAAATACGTAGAACATTTTCTTGAGCCCATGAATTTGAAGTTGGGGACAAAGTGGGGTTCAAGCTTTGTCACCCGCAGATAGGACAGAGCAGTCTCCACTTCCTCCACTATATCTAAAGGCCATCTATATCCAGATGGAAACAAACCATCTTATTCCTATAACAAAGAAATTGATACATCTGAACTATACTGACAAAATCATCTTAGGTTTTAATTTGCTTTCCAGATAAATCAGCATGGTGGACACTATCTTTTAAAAGCTCTGCTAATTCTTCATTGCCTTTCCTAGAAATTCATCCTATTTTCTATTGCAATATATACTACTATATAACAACTCACCGTAATCCACTCTGAGCAGGCTCTCTGTTTCTCTTTAAACTCAAGCCATGCTGATTTGCCTAAAATTGCACTAGGTTCCTATCATATCTTTGTCCTTAGCTAGGACAAGCATTCAGTCAGTACTTTTCAAGCATTCTGCAAAGGTTGGTTACCAAACAAACATATATGTTTAAATATGAGAACATACATAGAAAAAAATTTTTTTTTGCTCTGCAAAAGGTATGGCACAGTACAGGCTTCCCTAGAAACATTTTGGGTTGACACTAGTCACACAGAGCTCCTTCAGATTCACAAAACCATCACCCACACTCCTTTTAGAACTGAAACCCCTTCTCTTGTTTCCTGGGCAATGTTTGTACTTCTTAATACGATGACACCCACAGAATATGGAGTATCTTGCCAGTTGCCTTGTTTCCAAATATGCAAGACTCAACTGCCACTTTGAGGAACCCAAATGAAAATACTGTGTTTGTTTCCTTCATTTACTACTTGTTGTCACTTGATTTTCTCTATCAATCAAGAAACCCAGGTAACAGAGATTTCAATTATCACAAGAAATCTCTAATTTTGGATATCATAAGGAAAGAGACAGTGAAAGTTGGAGTCAGATAATTTTCACAGAATATCAGATAGATATGCATATATAGTATATCAGCTTTGCCCTATGTCAAAGAGCATTTCTAACATCTTTTAAGCAATTTATTTTGCCTGAGATAGAGAGGGAAAAGACAAAAAGACACTTTTCTGTGTCCAAACTGATCATATTTGGCCAAAAAATGGGGAAAATATCAGAGGTGCCAGAACAGAAATGACTTTTTTAATAATGCTGTTCATGAAAGGTGCCCTTCTTGGAAGAGAAAAAAAGCTCTCAGAAAACCTAGTTGTCTTGAAATCTGTAGGTCTTCAAAAGCTCCAAGAGTTTAGCATGAGTATCAATCTAATCTGATGTGCATTTCTACTTTCCCTTCAGATATTACAAAGTAGTGTTGCCTGTCAAGTAGAGAAGTCATTTGTGCATTTAGTTGATGGCACTTCTGATAACTTTCAAATCCATTGAAGTATCACAAAATCTGCCATGAGTGTCTGTTATCAAGAAAGGCGGAGTTTGAAAAAGCATTGGGTTGTTTCCAGTGTTAGTCCTACTTAGAGAAGACCCACTGAAATGAGTGGGACATGTTATCTTGTTTAAAACTCTTTATCATGCATAATCTGCACCCCTTCACCTTCTTCTTTTTATTTCTGCCTTCCAACATTATCAGCAAGCCAAGCTAGGGTCCCCAGACTTTAGTGCAATTTTTATCTAGATGTGTCTTAGCCAAGAATCTTGGCCTAGTTATATAAATGCAATTAGGATGCTTTGAAAAGTTCCCTATGATGCAGAGATAAATGCTGAAGACTAAAAAGGTATATAGATTTCCCCTGCACACAGTTATGACTGTGCCATTAAGGAATGAATAATATAGGTTTAAAGTTAAGTTCCCAAAACTGAAGTACCTACTGTGGCTGCATGGGATATAATTGTCCTCTTGGGAAATAGGCCACATTAATTATAACATCCACTGTTCAATTCCCATGTTGTGATTAAATAAATATATATTTGATGTAGCAATACTACAATATTTATGAAGTGATAGGTAAGAAATATTTTACCCTCCAGAAAGGCTTAGCTCTTCTGGTCTTTTAACTGGAATCAACATCTCAAATGCTTCTGTTAAAAAAGGTTGGGTTTTTTTTTAAATAGTACAAAATTTCCAGAATACAGACTGCCATGCCAGTTGTATTGCATCCAAATATGCAAGCTTCAACTGCCCCTCTGAGGTACCTAAATGAAAATATTAGGCCTGCCTCCTTTTTGTTTCTTTTCTGGTAGTTATTTAATTTCATTTATATACCATCCAATAGGCAATGTTTTCTGGGCAGTTTACAACAGTTCATAAAACAGATAGAACAATAAAATACCACAAACATTCCTAAAATACAAACATTTGAGAACAATTTAAAAACAGCGAAACAGTATATGATATACTGCAAGTCCTGTAAAGTACTTGGAATGGTTACTCCTCTCAAATGTCCTAGGATGTCAACTGCCTCAGCACAGAGGACCGTCTCAACCTGATGCCAAAAAGCTGACAAGAATTGGCAAAGGAAGGACTTGGTGGGGAGCACATTTAGAATTGAGGGGCCACCACTGAGAAGGCCTTCCTTTTTGCTACCCTCCAAGTCTTTCTTGGAGCTGCACATGGAAGAAGGCCCCAGTTGTTGAACACTATAGTGTTTTATAGCTTTATAGCTCTATAGGTTAAAACCAGCACCTTGAATTGAGCTTGGAAGCAGATGGGGCAAAAATGGACTTATATGCTTAGATTGTCTGGTCCCAGTTATTATTCCAGCTGCTACATGTTGTCCAGGCTGCAGCTTCTGAATAACCTTCCAGGAAGCACCCCATATAGAGTGCAATGCAGAAACCTAACTTAGAGTTGCCTGAACACAGGCTACTAAAACCAAGTTAACTTTGTCCAGACAGAGGTATAGTTAGGCCACCTGCCCAAGCTGGTAGAAGATGCTCTATGCCACTGAGGCCATTGGCATCAAGTGACAAAGATGTTTCAAGGAGGACTCCCAACCTGCAAACCAGGGTGGCCAAAGCTGTTTCCACAACAAAAACCCAGCCTGAACCCTTTACTGAATTGGGTCCAGATAACTGGTCTTATCCAACGGGGCATGGAACTGAATGCTACCTTCACAAGCCTTGCCCAGGGAAGGAACATTTGCTACCCACCCATGGCTGTCATGGTCTTCCAGATCCAAGGATAATTTCTTCAGGAGTGGTCTTAACACTGCTTCTTTCAAGTGGCATGGGACCACTCCCTCTTCTAAAGAGGCACTGATCAACTTCCTGGCCCAGCCAGTTATTGCTTTTCTACTGGCTTTTATTAGCCCGGAGGAGCAAGGGTGCAGTACAGACATAGTTGTACAAATCTGTCCAAACACTGGGTCAGCATCTTCAATCTGTATCCGCTTAAACTAATCCAATCACACTGGACCAGGCTGTGCTCTGGGTATCACCCCTGATTTAACTCTTGAGTCTAAAGCCCTGGCAGATGCAATAGATTTTATCTTGGAAGTGCCCAGCAAATATATTGCAGCAGGTCTCAGATGTGTCCACGATGTCCTTGGGGCTGAGATGTAATACGCCCTGAACAAGCCTATAAATCTCCCTTGGCCAGCAAACAGATCGAATGGGGCAGTGAGACGTTAGCTCTATGCTGCTGTAACTGTCCCAGCTGTGCCTGGCTACAGACAAACCCGAGTTCAATTGCATCCCCTGGGAATTGTCCTGCACTTGCAATCAAGCCATCTCCTGTTGTCATTTGATTTGCTCTACCCAACTAACAGAGAAGATGCTTTCCATCAGAAAAAGCTGAACGTTTCCTTGTCCAGTCCTAATTTGCAAGAAGTTAGCACCCTGTGAACTAATCGACAGTACTAAGGAATTCAAACCAATTCTATTTAATCAGTATTTATATAATGTTGAATGAGATACTGTGGCTAGTAGTTAAACATACAACATTAAAATGACATAGAAACATCTTATCTAGGGTAGTGTCAGGCACACACTTTCCACCTTGGAAGATAATGTTTTAAAATATAACACATGCCATTAAAGGCAGCTTTGAGCAACATGATGGAAAATTACCAGTCACTGAAGAGACTTCTGTAGGAAGTGACTGGCATCATACTTACAAAAGCCTACTGTTTTGGAAGTGTTATGACCTATTTGAAATCCACAAATGCGAGGAAATGCAAAAAAAAAAAAGCAAATTAAGGGCACAATCATACAGATATTTAGACAGAAAAAGGACCTACAATTCCCAGCATTCTCCAGCCAGCCTGGATGGCTGGGAAATGCTAAGAGTTGTAGGCTTTTCTTTCTCTC